GAACCACTGATCTAGACCTAATAAATTGAAGATTGCTTCTCCCTCTCTGCTCTATCATGCTCTTTCGTTTATCAGTTCGGAGGGGGAGGGGGAATGGCAGGAGTTAGCAGTAGGTTATTCTCCTGAATAAAGTTATTCTCCAGAATAAGAGGTGTACTTACCCCAGCACTCTTTCTTAGAAACACACTGAAGATCAAACATGGAAAACTTTAAAAGGAGATACAACTTCAGGTGCTGGATGGGTGAACATAAATGCTAGAACCACCCTTCTTCAATTCCCAAAATATGGTATATGAGTTGACAGTCGTGTCATGGAGGACAAATATAATCTAGGCTAAATTCAGTGTGCATACCATTTTAAACTATTTTTAATTTTAGTTTACCATGTCTTCAGATAAATTTGTACAGTGCCTTGCACAATGGAGTTCCAGTCCTGCTGAGTGCATCTGAGCACAACTGCAATATAAATATTAAATCATGATCAGTCTTCATCCTCATCTTATAGTTCCTCTGCAAATCCTAATCTCACTGTCATGATGATTAAAAAACATGCATCATATGGTCATAAGAGCATAAGAATGGCCATACTGGGTCAGACCAAAGATCCATCTAGCCCAGTGTCCTGTCTGCCTACAGTGACCAATATCAGATGGCCAATATCAGATGCCCCAGAGGGAGGGAACACAACAGGTAATCCTCAGGTGAATCCCTCTCCTTTCATCCATTTCCAGACAAACAGAGGGCAGGGACACCATTCCCACCCATCCTGGCTAATACCCATTGATGGACCGAACCTCCATGAATCTATCTAGCTCTCTTTCGAACCCCGTTAAAGTCCTAGTCTTTACAACATCCTCTGGCAAGGAGTTCCACAGGTTGGCTGTGCGCTGAGTGAAGAAAAACTTCCTTTTGTTTTAAACCTGCTGCCTATTAATTTCATTTGGTGACCCTTAGTTCTTATATTGCAGGAATAAGTAAATAACTTTTCCTTATTCATTTTTTCCACACCAGTCATAATTTTATAGACCTCTGTCATATCCCCTCTTAGTCTTCTCTTTTCTAAACTGAAGTCCAAGTCTTTTTAATCTGTCTTCATATGGGACCCATTCCAAACCCCTAATCACTTCTGTTGCCCTTTTCTTAACCTTTTCCAATGGCAAGATATCTTTTTTGAGATGAGGCAACCACATCTGTGTACACTATTTAAAGATGTGGGCATACTGTGATTTTAATATAGAGGCAATAAGACATTCTGTGTCTTATTCTCTGCAGCTTTTTTAATGATTCCTAACATTCTATTTGCTTTTTTGACTGCTGCTGCACATCGAGTGGATGACTGCAAGATCTCTTTTGAGTAGTTATAGCTAAATTAGCTAAAGGTCTGTGTGTACGTTGTCTTTGGGGAAAAAAACTAATGTGTAAGAGGGAGGTTTGGAGTTCTGAGTGTTTTTGTCCCCTCCACCATGTCCCTCTCCCCTCCCTCCCCCCCCAAAAAACTAATCACAATCATCAGAGATTTTGTCTTTCTATTTGTCTGATTTTGTTGTCTGCGTCAAGGGAGACCACTTGTTCTCCCCCTCTTAACATCAGAATTCATATTTTGTTGTTATACACTTGATTTCTACCATTTGCAGTTGGAGGACAATCACAATTATATTTTATTGTATTGCTGGTGTGATTGAAGAGTTATATAGCATCTAATTCCTGCCATCGAATGGCATTATCAGTGTGGTCAGCCTAATGCTCTGCACATAATGATTTGCTGCTTGGCTGAGTGTTGCATTGAGATCATGAACAACTGAGCACACTAAGCCTCAGGGCTTTCAACCTCTTCCAGTTTTTTAAAACCCATATTAAAATAAAAAAAATGGGACTCCCAGTTCCTCCAGTGTCAATCCATAAAGAAAGAGCTGGTGGATCCGTTGGGACCTCTTGACAACCTCCAGGTTAAGTACACATGCCCTGAGTCACATTTTGTTTAATTTTATCCAGGTCAATGTTCTTGATGTTGAGTCTGAGCTTGTTCCCATTAACTTCACTGGTGTTGGATTGAGCTTCTGTTTGTGCGCAAGTGCTGCATTTCCATCTATTTCCAACAGTGATCAATCTTTCTGTGCCAGCGTTCTTGCCTCAAAATGACCTTTGGTCTTTACTGGTTGTATATTTGTTTTTAAATTGCAGTATTCTAACTTTCCTTTTTATTCTGTGATCTATTGCATTGCTATCTGTGCCTGTAACTTTTTTGAATACACTTCTACAGCAGTAGCATCTGGGGTAACTTAGTATTTGAACTACCATTATAGAGAAGACATGGGATTTATAGCTGTTGCTATGATAAAATAGATACTTTTCCTACATTTTCTTTCCTTAAATTGTCAACTATTCATATTTCACACAACTTCTTGTGAAGTGGAAAACAATGCAATAGATCACAGAAAAACATGTATCAGATAATATAAAGCAATTAAAAAGAAGCATGTGAACACTGTTTTATACATACCCACTGAAGAATATTTAACATACATGGACCCTTTCTATTTATTATTGGTAATGAGGTCTAAATAATGTTGTCTAAGAAGTGACTGTGTTTATTGGCATATCTCAATAATCTAAATGTAGCAGAGTATTTCATATATTTGTTTTAAAGGATAATTTCAGCTAGAACATTTTTCGCAAAAAAAACTACCTTATGCCCAATCTAATAAAAGCCTTCCTCAATTAATGTCATTATTTTTTCCATAAGGAAGACTGTTGGCTACTAAGTTTTATATAGTGTTGAAAATGTTCACTCTATTTCAAAAGATGTGGGGTAGTTATTTCGAGACACCTTTGGTATCCCAAAATAGCCTTGCAATGTAGACTTATTCTAGAACATTTCAGTAAAACAGATTCGCCCAATATCAGCAGAAAGACTCAACCACATGAGCTTCTTCCAAATACATAAATCAGTTCTAAAGTCTGGTATTATCTCAGAAATGTCTTCAGTTTGTATTTAGCACAGCCCTGTTTTTGTATAAGACCATGAAATGCAGAATAATTAAAACGGTACAATAAAAACCACTTCAGAGTTTCTTCCTCTGGTGCATTTGATACTGACCTCTGTCACAGACAGGTTACTGGACTCATTGACAAGTGTGTAATACCTTATGGCCATACCTTTTGATTCTTCAGGGTCTGGAATTCTTTCTTGTTTGCATTTACATTTCAGGTGATGAAGTAGAATGCACTGGCATCAGAAAGTGACCCAAAGAGTTAAACTTAATTGGTGGAAATAAGTTTGAGGGAAGAAAGTCAGAATGTTAGTGTACTACAACTTTTTACAGATTATTCTTAATTTTAAGAAGCAGATGTACTGAATGAATATAATCTGTTTGCATATATACATATCTCCATTATAACTGAACAAGAGTAATATTTTAAATTGTCTGAAATATAATAAACCGACTAAACTGAGTTAGATGTCTGATTTTTTTTTTTCCCCTGGTTTACCCCCAGATATTTTAATTGCATTATTATAAATAAGTTTTATTAAAATAGTATAGGATTGAGTCTGGGTTTTCTTATTTGTGTGTGCGCACACATAGGGCTTGCCAAGCGGCGGCGAGCCGCGCATGCGCAGATCAGGCAGTGCCAGCTTGTAATCAACTTGCCACGGTCGAGTAGATTACATTATTTGTCGAGCCGTGTGTGTGTGTGTGTGGACGTTTAATTGCCTGATTCGAGAGAGACTTAAACTATTGCAATTAGTAGAAAAAGAATATTATAAATTTAGTCAAAATAATGTATACCTCAGGATGTAAAAACGTGTTCATATTTGGATTTTGATTTAAAATTTACACTTATAAGACTAAAATTATTAGTACAATAAAGTTGGAAAATTAATGACAAGCTTAACTTTCAAGTACTAAATGTGTTATAAAAACTATAGCAAATTTAAACTTTTGGGAACACTTAGGATGTTTTTGGTTTTTTCAGGCTTTTTAAGAAAAATTCACCTTATGACTAACTAATTCAACATTCTCCCCCCAAAAAATTGAAGAAGCCTGTACTTTTATCAAGTCTTTGTTTACCATAATACATTTTAAAATAGCGAGTCTATCAAATTTTAAATCTTTCTTATGCAGTATCTTACATGGGAAACATCTCACAAGGAGGAATGGAATAATAGAAAGACATAGTCCATTTAAAAGTCAAACTTTGAGGAGGAGTAATGGGTTAGGGTAAGAGTGAATTTTATAGCATTTTTAAAAGAGGATTACTAGCCTTTTAGGCTAGGCGAGAGAAGTCTGTTTCTTGGGTTTCATTTTTCTTTCTTCCCTTATTCTTGGTTAAAATATTTCATGTGTTTTGTAAAGATGAATCATGTAACCTGAGCCTTGAACAGCTCAAATTCTTACGTATGATCATGACATACGAATCCTTGTAAGAGCTGTCATATAATACATAATAGCGTACTGTAGTCAGAATAACATTTGAACTTCTTCCAGCTGTGTGCAGTTGTTTAATTTCTTATTACTGGAGCACTTGAAATGAACTTGGCTCCTTAGTTTTCTGACAGGCGAGAGTCAAGATGTTCTAGTGTGAATGTAGCTTCTGACTCTACACAAAATTTTTGCAGTAGAGTCTAATGGGATGCTCAGAATGGAACCCTTTGAATACATTGCATAGCTTTTATCTTAGTTTCTATACACTGAAGTCAAAAATCATCTTTTGGTATTTTTGTTCTCTTTTACACTTTTAAAGATAAATTTTAGATCAGGCTGAAATGATCCCTGTGTAATTTTATATATGCTTGTAAAGCTTATTAAGCCTTTGAGAACGTCCAGGATAAAAAGAACTGTAGAAATGACCGTGCTTTTTTCTTTATATCAGTTACTCATCTCAAAAAGGGCTAGTAAAACAAATTATTGTACTGGTCTTCCTTCTCTTGTTTTGTCATTGTCACATGAGAATGATGGAAGTGTCTCTTAATTTTGTTTTATTTATGCAGGAGAGCAGAAACAGCAGTAGATCATCCAGTCCTAGTGTGAGAATGATCACTACCTCAGGACCAACCTCTGAAAAGCCAGCTCGTAGTCTTCCATGGACACCTGATGAATCTACAGGTGATGCTTGTGCAGTTCTTGTTCTTTTGTTTGTTCTTGTCTTTAACATTCTGAAAAGTTTATTTTATAATTTATTTTGATTCAGATAAGTGGGTGTGTGTAAACTTCACAAAGAAATTGAATAATAGAGCAACTGTTTGATTTAGTTTTGTGCCTCATTTAAACCTTTACTGCAATTTGTTCATTGGTTGTACAAATTCTTTAAGTATACTCCATGAAATTACATCAGTTCTTAGCTATAGTTCATTAAAAGCAAAATAATTAATGTTCCTATGATGCTACAATAAATATGATATTCTGCTCAGCGTTTTAGAACATGCAACAAATGTTTACTTGCAGCCTCCATCCCTGTTGCTCCTAATGGCTGGAAATTGCAGCCAATGGGAGTGGCGGGGTGGGGGGCTAGTAGCAGCAAGCACAGGGTGATACAGAGCCACCTGTGCTCCCTGGGTGTGGTGCCAAGTAGGCAGCCCAATCCCCACACCTCCATCTTTAGCCTGCTCCTGCACCCTGCCTTTTGCCTAGACCCCACATGCTCTGCCCTCTCCCACACTCTCCATCCCAGGCTCTGCAACTGGCACTTCACTTCTGAACTCTACCCTCCTCCCCCCCCTAACCCTAACCCAGCCCTACCTCCAGACCACACCTGAGAGTGTAGAGGTCCCCACAATCAATTGGCCCCAAACGCCCAGAAGAGTTAATCCAGTCCTGGGGGCATGTCCTGATCCTCAATTTCTCCACTACTCCCCCATCTTGTGCATTAGCTCCATGGGGTAAAGTGAGATGAGTGTCTCTTTTCTGCTTCTCAGTTGGGGCACATCTGTGGGGGTTTTTTTCTCTTTCTCACTTGGGGGTCAGGCCAATGAGATGTGTTTTGGGAGAGGGAAGAGTTGTTTGGTTTTTTTGCTTCTCACTTGTGTGTGCACCTGCTTTTCTGTGGTTCCCCGACCCAAAGCACTTTCCCCACCCTGTTTTATTTGTATGTGAATATTATAAATATACATGTCTAGATTTCAGTGAGCCATCTTTTTGGATAAAGTACTACTCAGGATAAGTAAGCATTGTAGATTCAGGCACATATCTCTGGAGGGATAGAAGAGGGGGAGAATATGGGATAATGTGCAGTTACAAAGTGATGCAGAAAAACTTTCATTTTAAAAGTGTGTGAACATTTCTGATTACCATAGCATCACTTTTTTTTTTTTTTTTTTTTTTTAAATAAAACACTTGTATACTCATAATGTTATAGTGGAATCTTATTAAAGAAGTCCTAGACTCAGTCCTTACAAGCCATTATAAAAGCATCAGTACTTCAGTATACTAACACAGTGGGTTCTCTGTGACATTCTAAGGTGGACAGACTTTGACACATTTGCCAAAGAAATTTTATGCAGGAAGCGAAGTCCGGAATCTTGGCTCCTTTCTAAGGATAGTCTTAGTTCATGGCTTGCATAAATCTGACTGTGAAAACAATGCAAGATATCTGAAAACTATTTCAAAAAGTTCCTCATTTTAGGGCAAGTTATAGCCCTCTCTTTTTGGTATTTGTGATTAGTCATTATCCTCTAATTCTCATTTTGCTGTTTAAGGGGGGAGTGGGAAGAAGCAGTTTCTCATTTTCTGCACTTCCACTTCCTTTGTATTTTGAAATTGCTTTTAGAGTTCAGTAGTCTTTGAGGAGCAATACCTTTTCATTTTTGCCACCACCATCTCTACTTTACAGCAGGTGCTTTTGGGGTGTGACTAAGCAGCCCACTTCTTTCCCACTTATCCTCTACCATTTGCTCTCCTGATAAGTCTCACAGTGCTGGAACCCAGTAGTTTCTTCACTTAACCCTGCTGCTGTATCTTGAGATTTAGCAATAGCCTTATGTCCCTCAGATCTTGGGCTTCTGAAGACGTAAAGCATGTAAGATTCCAGAAGCACATGGTGTAGTTTTGAGAGAAAGTTCTGGGAAGGCCCATAGTGCTCTCTCTCTGGAAGAGAGCAACAGCACCCTGGCTCAACAGAGATGTTATAGATTCCCTGCATGACTCATCTGCTCTCCCTAAGAGCATTGGAGAGATATGTGTCCTACATCATATTTAGCAGATGTCAACTAAAAGGATATCCACAAATTTATAAAGGTGTAATATTTTGTTTCTTTTTTTGTATAAAAGATCATACTCAAATGTCATTTTCTACTAACTTTAATAAACACAAAGCAGAAAAAAAATGATCACTCTGCATATTGATGTTTAGTTTTGTTAAGTAGTAATCCATATTTTATAAGGAAGTGTAGTTTCTTATGAATGTCCTACATGGAATTGTACAGTTAACTCAATTAAAAATATATCATAGTTATGGTGGTATTTGTTACAGATACCAATGGGTCAGATAACTCCATCCCAATGGCATATCTTACACTAGATCACCAGTTACAGGTAATAATTGTATATCTTATGAGTGATTTGAATTTAAATTCAGTCTAAACTAGCCTTAAAACATTCCCCTGTTATATAAATATGAGCTAAAATATTGTTTTGCATATTCATTGATGTTTGTGTCCTGACTAACTTTTGAATATGGCTAAAGAACCTTATTCTGTAACCTGAGATTGGTTGACTCAGATTTAATCAAGCTTTTAAAAATAAACCCTGGGAAAATATGATCCTTAAAACAAATTGAAATCTTAGTTTAAAAGTCTGAATTCAAAATTTGCTCAGGGTCATAGAATGAAATGCTGCAGTCTCATCCCAACGTTTTGTTCAATGGATGATCATCATCCTTTGTTACAAAGTGATAGAGCAATAAAATAAGATGTTTGGTCTGATACAGCTTTTGCAACAATGCACTAAGATTTTCCAGGGCAGAGTTTAACACTTATTTTTAAAACCTTACTAGTTTCTGAAAGCTGGTATAAATATATTGCAGACACATTCTAACACACTATGTATTGAGATATCAGTTTATTAGATTTTAACATGTCTGATTTATTTTCAGCCTCTAGCACCATGCCCAAACTCCAAAGAATCTATGGCTGTATTTGAACAGCACTGTAAAATGGCACAAGAATATATGAAAGTTCAGACAGAAATTGCATTGCTATTGCAGAGAAAGTAAGTAAAATGCTTGTAAATGCTTTCTGTTCTTCTGTACAGATTCCTTTTACTTTACAATAATAATGCTATTTTAATCCAGTAATTTCTCATGTAGAAAAATCAATGCACCATTCCCAAATTACATTCCCAAAAATTACAGAATATTTGTGCTCCTGACCATAAATCTATTAACAGTAGCTGAAAAAAAGTATGTTATATTTGTCTTCTGTAATATCCTCTGTAAATTTTTACATTATAAAGCTTGTAACACCTATGTATGGCAATCAGTAACAGCTGCTTACATTAGCTGGCAATTGCAATAAGCCTCAAAAGAAAAGCAATTTAATTTCATAATAGTTAACTATTAAAATATGTATTTACATTTTTAAATATAATTTTTGCGTAGTTACTTCGCCAGTGTATCAACACACTATCAAGTTTTATATCACACTATCAATTTTGATCACTAGATACAATTAAATAACACAAATGCAAGACTTCTTGCCCCTAAAGATTTAAGTTCCTATCTGCCCAAAATATGTTATCTTTAAGGACCTTAGTAATCTAATGGATGTCACTGAGTTGAATTGAAGCATGTGATTGAGTTCTTTCCTGGATTGGACCCAAAGTGATCACTAGGTCAGAATACTGGCCTTCAGTACATCTGTGTTTGCCCTGCCTCGCTGCACTGTAGGTTCCATACCCTTTTCTAACGTTGGAAAGCAATGTTGGGGAGGTCGCATACATGGAGCATTGAAGTTGGAGATGGGAGTAACCAGCAAATTGCCAACCAGTGGCTGAGGTAAGATAGGTGGGAAGAGTGAGGCTTTCAACCCTCTTGAAAAGGAGCTGTCCTTTGATGTTAATTGGAGGTGGACCAGAGAGGAGAGGTGGCTAAAGCACCTGTACAGTGGAGGTCACAGGAGCAGGGGAACAGAATGGGACTTCTGATTGGAGAAGAGGACAAAATATGGGCAAAGTTAACTTTGCTCCTCTGTTTCAGCTTAAGGATGCTGAGGGTTAGGGTTTCCAAACTATTTGCCCTCGGGTTCTGAATTTTAAAATAATATAGTCTCCCTCAATATATAAAAACAAGTTATTCCTGTTGGACAGTCTGCACAGCCTTGCCTCTATCCCCCTCCCTGGTGCTCTGGGAAGGGGGGGAGGGGCAAAGCCAGGAGCTGCATGGCCTTTCTCCTTCTTTCCTCCCACCCCATCTCCCCGGTGCTCGGAGAGAGCGCAAGCCAGGCAGCCCCAGGGTAGGGGGGACTGAGCTAGGGTGGCCTCAGACCCTCCCTGGGAAAAGAGAGCCTTGGCCAACCCCTCAGCAGCCAAGGGAAGAGAGCCAGGCCAGCCTCATCCCAGCCCAGCCCTCCTGTGGCTGGGAAGGGGGAGAGTCAGGGCTGCCTTGGTCTGGAGGGGGGTGCGTGACGGCCGGGAGTGGGAAGAGAGCTGTGGCTGGGCTGGCCTCAGGAGGGGCCTGGCGGCCAGGGAGAGAGAGCCAGGGTAGGCCTCATCTTGGCTCTCCCCAGAGGCCGGAGTTGGGGGAGCTGGGCTGCTTACCCCCAGAGAGGGAAGTTGGTGAGTGTAGCGAGCAGGGGACACTGCCCCCTAATATTTTTAAATAGTATTGTTTCTGAAAATCCTGTAACTACCTATTTTCAGGATGATTTTATTTTTCTTAACTTTAGGCTCTCACCCTGAAGAGCGAGTGTTTTTGTTCATTTCACCTTCCTCTCCAGACTATCCAAACACAAAATTCTTCCATTTTATTGATAAATCTTGTTCTTTTCTTATCCATAATATCTATCCATATGTATTCAAAGAAAAACATTGTTTGTGTTGGCGATATCACGTCTTTATTAGTGAATTAAGTAATTAAAATGGTATGCTGTGGATAACATAAGCTTTCTTACAGTAATTACAGATTTTTCAGTGGGGATTAGTGTCACTAACTTTCTTCTCTACTGCATTGTCTCTTAACATTGATGGCAACTTGTGGTCTTATAAACAAATGATAAAATAAAATGCATTCTAGCTAACTGCCAGATAAATTATTTTGTAAAGTAATAGTTTGCCTACTGAGGTTTTTTTGCTCCTTTAAAAACAGTTACTGCAATACATTTTGAATACTTACTGCATCAGTTATCTTAAATGATAGTTATGAAAATAGTTAACAAGGGTGCAACTGAAAAACCATTTAGTTTAACATTTTTTCCAAAAGAGTTAAACAATTTTCCTATTTTTGCATGTGTTTACACCACGCTGCTTTTTTTTAATAACTCTTGCCATAAAATTAAACTTACACTTGACTTGTCTCATCTCACTATTTCTAAATCTCTTTTTTCTCTTGGCAAGAAGTGAATCTTAGTGCACTGGAGTACTATTTGTCTCATTGCCTTTCATTAAAGGCTTTATTAGAGAGAAGGGTTTGAGTGACAGTTAATAGCAATTACTAATAAATATTCATTGAAAAAACATTCTTTGACAGAATTTACGTTTTAAGGTTCCAGTCTTGCAAATACTTAAGCATGTGAGTCTCATTGAAGTCTGTAGGATTACTTCATGTGCTTAACATTAAGCATGTCTGCAAACGGGCAGGATCAGGGACAAAGTCTAAATGAATTATGGCAAGACATTAGGATTCAGTTATGCCATGAGCTTTGAGCAATCAGACTCCTTCACCTATGTGGTGTCCTAGTAATTTAGAGTAGTGGTGTGCGTGTGTTTGCAGGCCCCATTGCATGAACTTTATTGTAGTTTTGAGCCTTTGCTTAGCGAGATTTTTTTTAAATAATTCTATAGTTTGGAACAATGTATAGAGAAGATGTGTGTTTGTATCTGTAAATATTTTTAAGGCACCATATCTTTCAGTTCATGTATTTGTAAATGTTACTTATTTGCTATGAATCCAGGGAAATGGTGTCTAAATAAGTTTTAAGAATTTATCTGCAGTACTTTGGATTCTGTTAATTTGAACTGAAAAGCTATTATAAAAAAGGCATGAAAAGTTGTTAGGATTTTGATTTACAATTAGTTTTAATTGCATACCAGTAGATTTGATTTGGAAATAGACCATTACTACATATGTTATATTGAGACTGAACTAAAGATTAATAAATGGGTTTTCGGGTTGGGATGAGGGGGGTTGGTTAACTATAAGGCCATTCTGTTGTACTACACTTGAAATGAGCTGGGTCTCTTCATTCTCCTGTAATGTTTTAATCCTGACATTTTTTATCTTTAGACAAGAGCTAATAGCAGAACTGGACCAGGATGAAAAAGACCAGCAAAACACATCCCGTCTAGTACAAGAACATAAAAAGCTTTTAGATGAAAACAAAAGTCTTTCAACTTATTACCAGCAATGCAAAAAACAGTTAGAGGTCATCAGAAATCAGCAACAGAAACGACAAGGCACATCATGATTCACTGGGACCTTTCAATTTTAAAATATGCACAGAAAAGACTTTTGTATTACCCCTTATTATGACAACTCATGAGTGTTAGCTTCTTGGTGTGTTCAGAATGCCTATATTTGTCTTCTACACTTAGAACGGCATTTATTTTCCTTTTCCTATGATGGACATTGAGTTTGAGAGGTTCATTGAACAAGGTGGGAGAACAGTGACTTGAATTAATCACCAGGACTCAGCTTACACAAATACAGTGAATTGTGGCTGTACATGTGCTCAGTGTGTGAAGGCTACCCTAACAAGCATTAAAATGGCTGCTAAATTGGAAGATCTTGTTTTAATTTCTGATGTTACCTCAATAAGAACAAAACAAAAACTTCTGTTGGAGTGGTTTTGTTCTTGTGTCTCATCTCAAGCAAATTTACAGTGACAGTCATTTTCTCATGCACCATGCTGCAGACCTGAACTTGATTGACCAGAGTAATTCATTGTGCATTTGTGATGCATTTTACCTGTAATCTTAGTGCATTTTTCCATGTGCAAAATGGTAGTCAGACTGATGCCAACATCACTGGTTCAGTGCTTGATAGTCCTGCATTTTGACTAATCTGTTTCTTGTAATCTTGCATTCATAAAATAATTGAAGCAAAAGGCTGTATTTTCTTTACTATTTTTTTTATTTTTGGGGGGGAGGGGGAGGAGTGGAGTGGCATGCAGTTTCTCCTAATCATACTGGACAAAAAATGATGAGGGTGATTCATTAAGTAAAATGTTTCCCTTGTATAAAAGAAGAAACATCCAAAATGTGTGGAAGCATGTGTTAAGCTTTAAAACTTTTGTGCCTGTAGCATCTTTGGAAGACAGTTCAGAAAGCAAATGAATATAAAGTTCTATATAATCATTCCCTTAATATTAGATATTGGAATCTTTTAGAACCTTTATTGAAATACTGAAAAGAAAACATCGGTATTCACCATACATGTAAATAAGTTTGTTTTGGATAAAGAAATGAGGATTTGAGTTTTTTATTTTTAAATAAAAAAACATGATATAGAGTAGGGAATGCAGATGGAAGAAGCTGGTAAGAAATGAGAGAAATGGCTTAGTCTGCTTCATGAATCCTAATTATTTCAGTCATTTTGAGAAGTGTTCCAAGCAAGCCCACCACAGAATGCCTACTGTCTTTGTGACTAAAGAGTCGCATTTAATGAACTCAAACGAAACATAACATGATTAATATCTATATTCACCATGATTATTTGGGCATAAATCACTGAAAATGGATTGTCTGGATTATAAACGAGCTTTCAAATTAGTCACTTTTTAATAGAATCATAAACAATTAAGTTCTCGGGCTCACTTTTAATAACGTTAGTCTTTTGCAAATATAAATTTTTCAGAGAGAAAATATAAAATGAAAACTTAGTCTCTGTATCAACAAAATACCAGAAATGTGATCAAAAGTTTGTGATGTTTGGCTTCTGTTCAGATGAATAAATTGGTGCAAGAGTTCATTAATAGCACTTGGTAAATGCTTTTTTGTAAAATCCTCTGATAAATTCTGATATTATTGTCAGTGTGTAAGAATATCAAAGATGAAGGATAACTTACCAAACTATGCCATTCTAACTTTAAAATAAATCTATTATTGGCAAGCCCTTTTGGAGTTAAAAATCTTCCGTCACTTTATTTAAATAAAGGAAGGGTTATCATTCCCGAAACCTTAGCAGATAATTTGATTAGTTAGCTGAAACTGATATTGGGATCAACTTAAGGGCACACATATTTATAGCAAAATGTAATTGGCAGAGAAAATAACTGTAGTATTAGGAATAGCACAAGTGATCCAAAGCATTGCTGTTTGCATACATCTGTCCATCTACCAAAATGGACACAGTCTGTGTTCAGCAGCTTCTTAGCATGTGTTTTAAGCATGAAGTAGAATAGAATGAATACTAATGCTTGACTTCACATGCATGGTTAATAATTGCAAAATCATTTCCGAAGACAGTTATTGAGGTTCTTCTATGTCATAATGAAACATTTTTAAATTAACACTCCATGTACAAAGTCACTTTATGGCAAAATTAGAATAATGGAAAGAAAGCAATGCTAACTTCATTTAATGGTACATAAATTACTTTTTAAGTTTACATTGAAAAGGGTCTCATACTGTAAAATAAGTACTGTATGTTTTATGGAATTCAGCTCCATTCACTACTTAGAATGGCAGAACTATCTATTTTCCAGAGGGAATATAGAGCTTATGTTCTCTTGCCTTTAAATCTTCCCTTCCCTAATTCCACCAATAATGTATTTGCCCCACAACTTCCCCCAAAAACCAATAGGACAGCAATGACTAAGAAGAATTAACAATTTCTTCCTGTGACGTTAGTATTTTCAAGACGCTTTTGCTTTAAAGTTGTTTAGAAATGTGCTTTTACTTTTTTCTGTTCAACTGTTTTGGAGTGTTCACAACATTTTTCATGTCACCTATTATTCAGTTAAAACTCTCCCTCTGTTCATGAATGTGAAATATGTAGTTTTGTCTGGACACTGCCTCCTCAATCTCAAAACAGTAATAGGTTCTGCATTTATTGTCAAAGTATGTGTTGTGTAAGATATTGTCTACTGAAAGAATGCTTCAGTATATTGTGCAGTTCTACCAAAATGCTTTACTGGGCTTTATTTTTGGGTGGGTTTTTGATGAAAAGATGATTGTAATTCAAAACTTGTACATAAAATGGTGAATGATTTCATATGATGTGGGAATGATCAGTGTGGCTTTCTGCTACAGGGATGTACTGCATTACCAGGAATCAGAGTAATAAACGCTGAAAGACTTTAACAGACTTGTCATGCCCCACCACTTCCATGGCATCCATGATCTGTGAGGGAATCCCACAACTCATGGGAAGCAGAGAGTTCAACCACTGTAAATTACTGTTTTCCTTGATGCACTTGGAGGAACAGCTGTGGACAAACCATTCCCACCATAGCTGTATGTCAACATCAACAAATCTATTCTGAAGACATTTACCTGGTGCTTTTCCTAAGACACATCCTTTTGTGTGAGAAGCTTCACTGGAGTACATAGGCAGTTGCAATCAATCCATTGAACATGCTGTTTCCCTGTCCTTGGATAACAGTAACTTTATCCCAACACTGTCCCATTGCCCTGGACTGCTTGTCCTACCAAGGGATTCTCAGATGCCATGTTCAAAATATACTTAACATAACAATGGGAACACTGTGGGGAGAACATTCCCAATCCCTGGAATAGGAGTTTCCCAGTCTAGGGGTTAGGGGGAGGAATCCTGCTAAGCCAGGTAACAAACATGTTTAAAACTTTTTTTTAAGGATTTAAATACTTTCCAGAATTGATTGTTGTGAAATAAGTTGGCGGTAGTCAGCTTTAATATTTTCACTGACCGAGGTGCATGGGATTTTTAAATGAGTTCAAACAGGTTGCAGTTGTTTTCATTATGCCTGGTAGTGCGTGTGTGTCAGTTTGAGCATTTTTAACCCCTTCTCTAATCTGGCAGATTTGAGGAATTAGGTCAGTTTAGTGTGCAACAAATCTTTCCATCTGCTCCACATAGTTAAACCGTGCCATCTTTTCCTTGCCTCTGTACATGGCTGGCAGTTTCAATCAGGGTGATGTAATGGAACTGAATTTAGACTAAATAATGTCTTTAACAATCCTGCCTTACTGAAATCTCTCACAATTTTCATTCATAATTTTGTTTTACACTTTGTAATAGGTTTTCCTTTATGCTTTGCAATTACGTTCCTGGATCTCAAAGGAATTTTGCAAAATTAGTTAAAAGAGCACAGAAGGGTTTTGGTGTGTTTTACGTATGGGTAAATAGAGGCATGAAAATGTGAAATGACCTAACCACCATTATACATGGTGAATGGCAGAGAGGAATGGAAGCCGGAAGATCTGAGTCTGTCTTCTGGCTATATGAATGGACTATTCTCCCTATCTGCTTTCAGTACAATTAGAGAATATCAAGTTGGGTGAGATTGCTCCACTGGGTACATATAGGACAGAAGGGTCAGCTATGTCCTGGGCTCCACTCCCTTATCTGTGCCCCCAGAAGTGGGTTATGTATGGCTCTTAAGAGCTGCAGTAGGCTAGGACTGAGGGGATGCTTGGTTATACCATCATACAGACTGAACTTGAGAATCTAGTATCTTTTCTGCAGAAACACCACCATCACCATCCCCACATGCCAGCCAGGACAGATAGCCGGAGGTAAGTGTGACAGTCACAATTTTGCCTCCTGCTTCTGCTGGTTTCCAGATGGGGGAAATACCCTGAAGCCTGGTGCAGCATAAATCCATAAGCACAGCTGTGCCCAGCTGGTTTGAAGTCAGTTATTCCTATTCCCCAACCACTCCCACCCCCACATGGGGCTGGGGTAGGGAGAGTATAACAGCTGCATGCAGGCTGCTTTCTAGAGTGAGCACAGGGAATTAGTGTCTTACATCAGCTTGCACACCATATGGGTCACTCTCTAGCTGCCACCGAAATCGTGAAATATTCCGTTTGCAGTGATAATTTGACAAGGGAGAGTGCTCTCTGTAGCTCCTTGCTGGTTTCATTCCTCCCCTATTTCCAGGGGAGCATTAAAACTTATTGCTTGCTTCTGAGGGGTTCTTTAGAGCAGGGGTTTCAAACTCTCAGAACATGAGCCATCCCCAGCCAGACCTGGAGTACAATCTGGATCAGGACTCCCAGGGAAGCTGTCTGTTGTCCCCCAAACCCAGCCCCTTCCTGCCATCATTCTACCCCATAGCACCCCTTCTCTGAAGATGCAGTGTTGGAGATCAGCAGGAGGTTGTGCCCTCCCCCCACACATCCTGCCCAGTGTGCTCCACTTTCCCATGGTTCCTGCTATACCAGAAGGGTTGATGGTAGGAAGGGAAGGAGCTTGGGGACCATAACAGACACCCCTTCGCAACTCTCCAGGAGTTTTGAGCCAGATTGTGCAATCACTTTGGCTGATGGTGGCTGCTTTGGATGAAGTGGAGCATGCTGTAGAGAGTTTTAATGTGGTCCTCCCAGTTCTTCTCATGCACTTCTATGCTACAAAGTTTTAACGCAAGCTTTATTGGTATATAGCCAGCACAGTATATTGCTTGTGCATGTGCCTCTCTGGCCCCTTGTAGCAGTGCCATGCATACCAGAAGTGATTGTGTTGATGAATGGTGCAGTGCACCATTGGTAGGTATCCTAGCATACAACTGCCCAATGTTAAGAATGCCGTCTTTTGGGTAGTTTTGCATGGTGGGACAGAAATGACTCATACAAAAGTTCTTCGGATCTTACTGTGCATACCAGGTGCCAGCTTCTAAGACATACAATTAAGGCTGGGCCTCTCCCTACTGATGGTTATCAAGGAAAACCCACCATCAGCATGGATGCATTTCTTCTGGAATAGTGATGGAAGCATGAAGGGACATTAGAATCTTTAGCACATCTTGCACATAGATACCTTGCAACGCCAGCTACAACAGTGCCATGCAAACAGCTGTTCTCACTTTCAGGTGATACTGTAAACAAGAAACATGCAGCATCATCACCTTCAGATTGTAACCAAACTTGGTTGTCTGAGTGGCTGAACAAGAAGTAGGACGAAGCGAACTTGTAAGCTCTAAAGTTTTGCATTATTTATTTTTGAATGCAGGGTTTTTTTACATAATTCTATATTTGTAAGTTCAACTGTCATGATAAAGAGATGATGCTACAGTACTTGCATGTAATGATTTGAGAAATAAAAATTTTACTGTGCAAATATTTGTAATAAAAATAAATATAAAGTGAGCCGTATACACTTTGTATTTGTAATTGAATACAACAGGTTCTGAATTCACACCGCCAGAGATGGTGTGAATCCAAACACGATCAAAAGTAGCACACAGGAGTGCATCAACTCCAATATTTTCCGACATCCTTACAGGTAGTACTCAAACACAAAATAAATGTTTCCCTTTCCTAGAATGCAGCAGGCATTATTATACATCTAAACTAAATTTAACAATCACTTAAACTCATTTGGATCCAAGTCATTTCTCACCATGCAAGGGACTTTTGGGCTCCCAATGTGCTTCAACCATTCACTTGGAAGTCAACAAATTTATCATTCCTAATTTGATTAGGGCCTACTTGGCCTAGCTCCCTTCCAACTTTTCACCTGTGAGAAATGAAACCACTTGAGAATATTTTTCTTTCCTTATTTTCCTTTCTAGACTGTGGGACTTGCTTTATTGTCGATTCTGACAGAGCCTGCCTAAACTGGACTGAGAGCATAAGACTCTTTCCTTAACTAATTACTATGTAACCATATCCACTATCTGCTGTTCCTGAGGATTTAGAATTGGACCCATTCTCATATCCATTTTCTGAACATTTGTTCCCAAGACTTTTGCAACCTGCCTTTGAGTGCTAGCAACAGCTTTTGACAGCTGTTGCATCCACTGGTCCTGGAGGATGTGGGGTTGCAGGTTGTCACGCTTTGTTCCCTCTATGCACTATTGTTCTGGCAGGTGTATGTCTCTTCCAGTCCTTGCTTTCACAGGGGTTACTTCATGCAATGTCACAGATCCTCTTGTGGCCAGGAGAACAAATGGCAGCCTTTTATCCCCATCCATTAGCAGTGTGAAGTGCCCAGCCTCCTTACAGGGGTCAACAGGTGCTGCACTCAGAGTCTTCCCTTTATGTTCAGCCAGCTTCAATAAGAATTTTGGAGTAAGCAGCCCATCTATTATTTTCCTTGATTCATACCTCAAGAGCCTTCTCCAAATCTCTGCCCACGAGGAATTGGCAGGTTCTTTCATACAGCTTATCTTTTTTCTTTCTTTCTCTACTTTTCCTTGGCCTACTCCAATGGTGTTGCCTGGGAGAGCTATTGCAGCTACTTTATCAACTCTCTTTCTGCGCCTCGCAGGTTTTTCTGGCCCCAACCACTATTTCTCCTAGCACTGTAATTTCTGGGTCCCTACCTACCATGGCCATATGAATCATGGAGAGAAACCTTTGGATCAAAGTCTGTTGAAACCACAAGTGGCACAGCCAGGTTGTCAAGTGCCCTCAACCTGGACTGTTTAAAATCCAGCTTTTTTTCTATCCACATTGCTTTCTGGTCTCTCTCTTGCCTGTTGCTTCCCTTGATAGATTGTTGCTACAGGGCTTTCTCCCAGGAACAGGGCCTTTATCACGTCCCTTTGGTCATCATTTCTAGTAGAGATCCCCCTGCAAAGTCCAGAGGGATGACTGAGGTCATTCATTCCTTGACCAAGGCTGCCAAGTGAGACCAGCAGTTGGTGTCAGTTATCCCCTCCAGCCACCTAAGGGCTATATTCTTGTTTAACAGGCCAGCCAATTTCCCTGTGACCCAACCTGGTCAGAGGAGAAAGGCCTGGTCTCTACCTGTTCCTCTCATTCTTGGGGCCCAATATTTCTAGCCATGGTGTTTACTGCTGGGGGTTCTGCAGCTTTGAGCAGGGGGCTTCTACAGCTTTCCCAGAGTTTGGAGCAAAGAGCCACATGGGGATGGCCCAAAGGGGCCTAGAGGAAGCTCATTAGAATCATCCTTCTCATAGTCACAATAAGGAAGATATACATAGGGCCTCTTGATCCATTTCTCTTCCTTAGGCTATGAGCCCTTTTTCTCACAGTCACTATTCCCTCCGCTTTCCCAGCTGTGCTTGGAAGGCACAAATTTGGCTCTTACATTCGCTGGGGTCTGCTTGGGCCATGTTCTGAGAGTCCTTCAGCAAGGCCCCAACTGCTGCTTTGCTTTCCTCTGCCTGCTTTTTCCAGTCACACGCCCCAGGCTCTCTC